GGCTTATTTCGCTGACTGGAAAATGCGCTAAATTAAAAGCCAGTGAATATGTAAAATTTAGCATAGAACACCATTATCTAAATGATATAACCGTGAATTTAAAACCCACTGAATATGCCTGAAATGGTGAATCAGTGAAATTTAAACCCAGTGAAAATTAGTCATTTTACAGTATATCGGTAGGTATGATATAAGCTCAAAATACCACAGTAAAAGGTTCCTTCACTGGTGGATGTGATTTTTGGGAATAATACTTTGTTAACTCTGCATGTGACATGTATATGAATAGGTATGGGTGATACTAGTAATAGTATATATACATGTAGTGCATAAAATTGTTATTATTAAAGATGACACTAATACTTTTTTGGGATGGCGCACCCCCTCGCGAAAACTGACACAAAACTGATTACCCTCATGTCTATTAAAAGCAATGTACATGTAGGTAGATTTTGTGATATGGAGTTTCTACTCACATTGAAAATCAAAGTTTTTTTCATATTTGATATGGGGGTCACTGTACTCCATTGAAAGGAATCGACCAATAAAACACTGAAAATAGCATGTTTTGCCTGTTTTACCATTGTAAGAATATATCTCAATATCTTAAAATTGGAGATGATGGAAAAAAGGTATTTAATGTATTTGGATGTCTCAAAGTTTTAAAAATTTGACAATGTTTTACTGGGTTTTTATTTATTATTTTTTTTTTACCATTTTTTCTCATAAAACAGATTGACAGAGAACGTGAACTAAAAAAGTTCATATTTGGTTGACTAATACTAAAATGAATAATAGTAAACAGATTTTGACACAAAATATTATTGCAGTATGCGCTAAAATATGCACATATTTAAAAAACTCATGAGTACCTTGAATTGAGGGTTAACAGAATCTAATCAGAGTTTTTATAGGAGAGCTTGATTACAAGATAAATCATTCCTTGTAAGTCTGCTACAGTCACGGAATTATTTAATAATACAGACTATGATTTCAGAGACCACATAGTCTGTATGAACTGAAAAGTCTGATAGCATTCAATTTGTATAAAACCAACGGAAGACAAACTTTACAGTACATTGTCCAAAAAGAACATAAAACGTAATTTAGAAAGCTTTCATAAAATATGCACTATCCCACAGTAGTGTGTATTAAACTTGAATAACCCATGGTAGTCATAGTAATATCAGTGGATCTCAACAGACTACTCAGTGGACCTTAAAAAGCTGTTTTTTTTCACAGTTGAGGTAATTTTGTAGTCTTTGTAGTCAGGTAGGAAACAGTTAAACATGCTATAACTGCATGCAAGCAGGGGGTATTAAATGACATCACAATTTAACTATATACACATGCAAGTTATTTGAAAAAGTCATTTATTGAAATTTAAATTCCATATCCACCCACTATTCAACATGCAGATTCAATTTGGGATTAAAAGAACAGAGAATCTTTAAAGAATCTGAAAGTTGATAATAAAATAAATATTTTATTAGCAATTATTAAGCACAAAAATTGTTTATTTTGTTACAAGAAGTAAATTTCCAATAAGTTTACATATTATTACATATATTCATGCAACAATGATAGTTACATGTATTTAACACATACTATACTATATGAAACATACACAACTATATTTATTACAAAATAATAAATATGTAAAATTTGATATACTTCAAATTTCTATTAAAGGCGCTCTAGGAATATTACATCAGGTGCCAAAATAAACTGATCAGGACATCCTGCTGTTTCCCTATCAATCTCTCTTGCAGCAATGAAATATTCCTCTTTCAGTACTAAAAAGCTGAGGGACTCACAGTGGATGAAAACATTTTCAAAAGGGATTTGTATTCAAATGTAGTCAGATTTTGAGCAATCAATTGAAAGTGAATCCAGCAAGCATGTTTTACATTTGAACACAGTGAATTATATTTTATCACAAATATACAATTTCATTTTAAATTCAAGTGTCCCTTATATACCCCTGACTTTCAATATCCAAAATGAGTATTTTTTCTTTCCAATGGTCAAAGGTAAAAAACAGTGCTAGCAGTGCTCCTCAGAATATAGTAATGTTTGTAAGCATATTTATAGAAAGAGATTTTCCTAATCAGTTTGTTTCAGTACACACAGTGAAATATGGTTAATTTATTTCAGTTATACCTTGTTTTGATGACTGTTCTCAAGGTGAAGTACTTATCCTGTATATGTTTTCAAATGTAGCCTGTGGGAAAGGCGTGGACCAAATGTTTGACGCAAAAATCAAATGATTTCATTTTAATTTAAACTTGAAGATCTTTTATTATAACTCAATTTCAAACTGCCAGTCTTTCAGGAAGAATATGTTATTGAGATACTCTTACAGCGTTTCCTTTACAACTCAGTGTATTTAAAACCTTCTTCATGTAACTTCAAACCTGATAAAATTAAACCCAGGGAATATTTCTTCTTTTACAGTAGCATGAAGTGTCACCGATATCATTTCCTTAAGCTATTGAAGATTTATGTCAAATTCCAACTATCCCAAAAATGGCAATGATACTAAATATATTTGCTGACACCTCGACCGAGTGGTATACTGTAAAATACTTTATTTTATTCCTGGAATAAATTTTTGCTGAAAAGACTTTTTAGGTGTTCTGTATGTAATTCATTTTCACTGATTTTTGATAAGTTGAATGTAAAGTATAGGAAAAGATTATTATATTCACTGAATCATCCCTTTAATGAAATAGCGAAAATAAAGTATTTTACAGCAGTAGACTTTAACATTCAGTGCCATGCTGTTATTATGGAATAAGATTTCTGCAGCATGTAAAGTATAGGTAACATATCAGACACATGCAACTAAACATGCAGCTTTATCTAGACAGCTATTTGTACATGCAGCACCAGCCAACAACTGTGAAGTGAAATATATATGGTGAAGTGGAGTGAAAGACTAGAAGGCGCCTAATTATTGATGTAGACAGACATTAGGTTAATAATAGCAACTTGGGATGTACATGTAGTCTTGATATTTCAGCATGTCCCAGTTTTAATTTAATACTATACTATTCTGCTGAGAATCAACATCAAAAGTGGGACCTCACAAGTGATGAATATCTTGGTATCACGTTACACATGCTGTCATCTCCTGTTCTGAATGTTCAGGGCAGTTTCAACAATGCTAGCAAGTCAATATAAACTTTTCACTATGTGTCAGCGCTAGCACTTGCAATTTGCACTTACAAAATAAAAAAAAAAGTCAGGAGAGACAACAGTGACACTTAATGTTCAGAACTGTCGCCTGGCACAAAAACATTTAAAAAAAAAAAAACTTTGAATGACAGACTCTAACATGACTGTGTGGCATATAATAGCAGAACTCAAAAATCATAGTTAAAGGATAATGCATATTACCTGCGCATTTTTACTAGTGTGTTGGAATAGGACTAAATTAAAGAAAGTGATCTTACCTGGATACGTTGATAACTCCTCTTGTCTTACAGGAATAACATCTTGTGATCTTCTACTGTGGCTTGGCACAACGTACTGGACACCCTGAGGTACCAGCAATGATGTACCAGTATATGGTTTAGTATGTGCAACACCAGAATATTGTCTTGATACATGTACACTACCATTATAGTTATCCACACTATGCGAATTAGTGTATATAGTTTGAGGAGGCATCATCGGATGCGCCATTTTATGATAAGGAGCAAAGCGATCAAAGTCTGCTAAATGTGATGGAGGAATCAGCTCTCTGATTTCTCGGAGAAGGTCAAGTTTCCGTGGAGTATCAAGACAATTCTTCAATGCAATCATCAACTTCACAATATCTTTGTATGAGTGATATTCCTTCAGCACGTCATGGATGTAATCTCTCTCCAAGTCCGATAGGATTGGCTTGGATTGTTCTAAGAATTGTCGCAGGTAGATCTGTCGATGTGTATCAGCACGGCCAACAGACATCTTTATTTATCTTATTTCCCAGGACAGATTGATGAGAGTAACATTCTACGAAGCAGTGGTTGTTGACTGTTCATAATTGTTTCAATGCTATTCTACCATATATGATAAAATCTGGAATAAATATAAAAACAGATTTTATTAATTACACAGCAAAAATCAGAATATCAGTTTGTAACACTGTTAGCAAAGTTATTGTTTTCTAGTCTCAGAGTTAAAAATAACATCTTATCAACATATATAAATTAGTATAAATTTACATAACCATATTTTTCATAACAAATTCACACACTAGGCCCTGGTCAAGGTCTGCATGTGTGTGTATTCGACTTGGCATGGTTAAGGTCTGTGCTATGTACTTCACATTTTTAATATTTAAGCTCAAAAAACATTAAATTCTAAGACTGTGATTTTGCCAACACATGTGATGACTGGAAACACTACGTTTATTGGGCGGGGGGCTAAGTTCTGAGCCAGGAGCCAACATTATGCAGTAAACCAGGAGCCAACATTCTGCAGTGAACCAGGAGCCAACATTCTGCAGTGAGCCAGGAGCAAACATTCTGCAGTGAGCCAGGAGCAAACATTCTGCAGTGAGCCAGGAGCAAACATTCTGCAGTGAGCCAGGAGCCAACATTCTGCAGTGAGCCAGGAGCCAACATTCTGCAGTGAGCCAGGAGCCAACATTCTGCAGTGAGCCAAGAGCCAACATTCTGCAGCGAGTCAGGAACCAACATTCTGCAGTGAGTCGGGAGCAAAAATTCTGCAGGGAACCAGGAGCAAAAATTCTGCAGTGAGCCAGGAGCCAACATTCTGCAGTGAGCCAAGAGCCAACATTCTGCAGCGAGCCAGGAGCCAGCATTCTGCAGTGAGCTGGGAGCAAACATTCTGCAGTGAGCTAGGAGCAAACATTCTGCAGTGAGCTGGGAGCAAACATTTTGCAGTGAGCATGGAGCAAACATTCTGCAGTGAGCCGGGAGCAGACATTCCACACTGAGCCAGAAGCAGACATTCTTCAGTGGGCCAGAGCAAACATTCTGCAGTGAGCTGGAAGCAGACATACTGCAGTGAGCCAGAAGCAGACATTCTTCACTGACCCAGAAGCAAACATCATCCTGGTTAACTGGTGGTTACAGAATGAATCTGGCTTGGCTATCAAAATAAAAACTATCATATGCAGACTGTGGCAAGAGAAGAGTCACAGCCCATTTTTAAAATAACACTATTTACTCATACAGCATTATAAATTGTTTGCAGCAAACATGTTCATGATTAGACAAATTCGTGATTTGGTGTTTTTTTCCCAAAGTGGTTTTACCATGTTGGCAACAGAAATACCATGCTTCAACTTTCAAGAAACAGAAGACATTATTGATAAGTTTATTCATTTCTATTGTTTGTGTATTCGATAACTCCTTAAAAAGAATTACATAGTTATATTCGGTAATACAGGTGCACAGAATCTATATTACAACTACTACAAGTTACGCGATAATAATATAATGGCTATTGATCCAATTTCTGCAGTGGACTTCCAGTTTATCCATAGTCAATGCTACCGGTATATCATATTCAAGGTGATATCTTGATTCAAGAATATTGGAAAGTGTGGTTTGATATCATTCATCTTCATAGTATAAATTCATCCTTTTGCTGGCAAAAACAGATGGTAATATAATTTTGGTAGTGAGATCTCACCAAATATAACAATTTTCCCAAAACATGTGAAAGTTCAAAAATCTTAGTATATACACACAAGAAAAACAAATACTTGAGGGTCTCAGTTTTTATTTCGCAGAAGGTACATGTGCAAATTCATAAATCTCCATTCCTTTCCTTTTTAGTTCAACTTAGCTGCCATGCTTGGGGATTTACCCGGGAAGAACACTTCATGTTATTAACAAGGACACATCATAGCTACATGTACATAGAAATTTTCAATAGATGATGCACCGGTAATTACATTTACAACAACAACTCTGAAAAAGTTTAACAGTTTGTAGTCAATATTTCTTTAGACTGAACTACTTGTGGTTTGTGGAAATTTAAATACTTACAATAGTGGTTACTAACAAAATTATAAGGAATTTTGATATTTTAAATGAATTATGTCGATGAGAGGAGAAGGGGAAAAGTTTGGTCAGAAAAATTTGCATTCCTCCACCACTTACATGTACACTTTCATGATCTGTTTAATAATTTTATTAATTAAGTACATAAAGAGAATTTAGATATTTGTTGTTAGTATTTGGTATGATAAATGTATAGAAAACGTCTGTCAGTACGCTGGTAAAAATGTAAGTTTATGGTTTTCAGCAAAAATAAAGAAATGATGACTAACAAGATGACAAGGAATTATGATATCTTAAATGAATTCTAATGATGAAAGGGAGAAAAACTGCGAGATTTGCATTCCTCAACAAATTATACATGATCTGTATATTATCATTTTATTAATTAAGTACATAAGGAGAATTCAGATATTTGTTCTTAGTATTTGATTAGTATTTATAAACGAGTACTAATTCTATTAGTGAAATACTAAGTCTATTAGTGATGTAGAGAATTTATAAATACTGACATAGCAGTGAAATATTTTTATTACAACACTAATCCATTTTAATGTGGGATATTTACAAAAAGTACTGTAATATGACAACTTAGTAGCCTCCAGTAGACAGTAACCGACGGTAACTCAATCGCATTATGTACACTTCACCACAGAGTGGATGCTAATGTGTTGGAACATTCCAATACAGTTATCCACTTAATTCAACTCGCCCTGACCAGAGGTTGTTTTCTGAAGTCTGCAGACAGATTAAATTTGACTGGCATAGAAATTTTATTCCTCAATGGATATTTTAATGATGGAGCAGTCAACCGATTTTATGCGTTACATGTATAACTATAGTTTGATTGACTATGCAAGAACAAAAAATAAATTTCAATTCAGCACAAGTCTTTTCATTGACCACCCAGCAGCTGTTGATAAATTTATATTATTGAAATTTTAATGCTGAAATTATAGCGTGTAATATATCTCAAAACAAACCGGATATGACGACAAAATATTGTATTTAGTATTGTATATTTATACCATGTATTGTATATTTTGTTTGCTTTGTAGTTTAATACCATGTATATTTTTATGCCACTGACCTTACCCATTAATGTCAACTCTTTTAAGGGCAAAAGTCTACTTGTGTCACTTTCCACAAAATAAAACTGCATAATTGTTTCTAATTTTTTTTCCACAAATTTTTATCAAGATCTCAATCTCTACACCTGAATCTGCAATACATGTTGACTGAAGCACTGTTAGTGTGAAAAATAGATACACTATCCTATGATGTACATTCAATGATGAGGAGATAACGCATAAAAACTTGCTTCCTGGTATACCATACCTTATCTGTTAAAACAGGATTATAATATCATGTTGCCCCCGAGAGACTAGAAAACAATAACTTTGCTAACAGTGTTATAAATAATCAACATCTGTGAGTGTTATTATTGCGTATGAAAGCTATTTCTATATCGATATCATAACAGCTAACTAAAATTTTAATTACTCTGAAAATATGCATCAAATATTAATTAATATATTTTATTAATTACGCATATTTATTTTAAAACATTCCAAATATATATTTTTCTGTAAATAATTTCAAAGATTGGACCAAATTCAAATTTATGTCTCATATTTACTAGGATGTATGCAGAGAACATGTTACTGTGAAATTAACATAATTTATTCATCAAACAGATGACTGATAGCGTGTAATGTGTAATTATGAAACTGTTTTATTCAAAACCACAAGCAGTTGGTTGAACTCAGCTGGTATCAACACACTGTCATTTCTGTTATTCATAACATGCGTGAACACATGACAGTCAGGAATGATAATCAAAAACTACCGAGAGGGTACTAAGGGATGTCACACATGTGGAGATTTCAAAAAATGATAATATACAAGTAGTATGACAATGAACTATCACTTTCAAGTCAAGGTATGGAGGATCAAAGCCAATAACCATACAAGGCATCAAATTTATCCCTAAACATTTTGTACATTTCTCTATATTTTTCTAATAAATTTTCGACAAAACAGAAATAATTTTCATTTAGCTACATGTTTTGGTCAACATTGAAAACAAAAATTAAGCAGGTTTATTTTGAGAAAGGTGACAATATTTGACTACAAACGATTAAAATCAGAACAAATATGGGTTTTTTTATTGATTGGTGACATCATTTCTGACAGGTAGGTGTACAACTGAGATGAAGCTGCCACAGATGCGATTTAATACTCACATTGGTATTATAAAACATGCAATATTTCACCTAATCACCAGATTGGATAACTAATCAGGTGAGAATAGGATCACAGGTGGGGGCAGGGAATGATACACTGATGCTACATGTACAAATGTATATATGAAGCAACCTCTAACATCGTGAGCTAATTTATTTAAAACTACACTCATATCATAATTTTATCTATCCAAGAAATTTAATTATTAAAAGTCTGCTCTGAGAAGATTTCAATACATTTATCAGAACTTTCAAAGCATAGCAGGAACAATATTGAAAATAGTTCATATTTACAGATTTTCAGAATTGCCGATGACTGCAGTAATTTTTCTGAAGCTGTGGAGTGTGAAGATCATTAAATATAAATACAAGATAATAAACATAAAATTGAATACTTTGCTTCCTGAGTACATCCGGCACAAATATCC